AAAAACAGCTGAAAATGAGAAAAAATAGTAAAAAAATCCAGTCCATTTTTTAAGTCATTTCGATATCAAAACTTGTCGGATAGAGCTGAAAATTTCAAGATATACATAACTCGATGTCCTCTATAACATATAAAAGAATCAGCAAATTCTGGAATGTCGCTCCATCGTCGGTGTCTGAGTCTCTCAGAGAATCACTCTTAACATTTTGTGCTTTAAGTAATATGAAAAAAAAAAGTACTTTTTCTTACACTCGTGTCTCAAGACAGAAGGAACCCAAAAATCTGAAACCATCAGAACAAACTAGTCTGATTGAGACCCTTCTCTGCACAAACTTTCAAATCGAAATTTGAAAGTTGATTTTCCAAGTAAATCTGACGAAGACCACGGTGTTCTGCTGAAAATTGCTGTAAAAATCAAATATCTTGATAGAAATAAGCAAGAAACACGAGTCTTTTTTAGAGTATTCATAGCTCATTAGAGCCTACATAATGCACATAGTCTCGACCCAATAGCGATTTGGCACCCGGCAATTGCTTTCGATCCCTTTTTTCTGTCCAACGTGACCCATACCCTCCAGATAGCTGCAACCCATCTCCTCAATTATTTCTATCCTATCTGATATAATGATCGACAAAAAAAATTAAGAAATAACTGTTTATAATTTTTATAAAGGGCTTTTGCAGGGAAATCGAAAATATTTCGGCATTCCATGGGACTTCAAGGGTTCCATGAGGTTACAAGGGACTCCAAAGAGTTGAAATCTGCCGTTTTCCCTTTGGGATGTTGGTGTGGATGTCGAAGAAGAAAACAAAATAAACCAAAGCCAACACCCACCCACATCCACACCCTTTCGTCAAGGAAGACATTGATAGAAGAAAAAAGTTACTTAGGATAATAAAAAAAAGTTTTTTACTGCGCCTCACCTGATTTGGAAACGTTCCGCCGCCCCTGATCGACTATTATATGCTGACAAATATAAAAGCGTGGATTTTAAGAAAAGTAGGAAGAAATGTATATCCTCAGTATTAATTTTTGTTCTAATGCACGATCCATGAACACACCATTGAGAAATAGGAATATATGAAAAAATTGGAGGTTGTGAAATACTATCATCAAGTGAAGAAAAATAAGATGCAGCCATCGAAATAAATTTTCGATCGTTTAATACAATTTTCATCACTATCACTATTGAAATTCTTCTATAACATATACTATCGATTACTATTACTAATGATTATAGTGCTACACCAATGGAATCATGGGAAAAGAAAAATAAACGTAGAAACATTTAAGTGATCATTTCGTGTAGACGGCTATGTCTAAATTGCGAACAAAAATTAAGCCAATTAAGAAAAAAGTGTTCGCAATTTGGAACACAGAAAATAACGTTGATCTTATTTTTATTGCGTTTCCAAATTGTGAACACTTTTTTATAATTAAGTAATATAGTTTTAATTCTTTTTATTTGACAAGTCAATACAAATTTGTCATTTGAATATATAACAATAAATGAGAACAATGATGAACGAAAATAAATAATAATATAATAATTTTTTTCCTTTTTTTAAATATTTTTATTATTTGTAAGAAAATACAATAATAACAAGGAAAAAAATGATTATATTATTATTTATTTTCGTTCATCATTATTCTCATTTATTATTATATATTCAAATGACAAATTTGTGTTGACTTGTCGTATAAAAAGAAATGATACCACTCTTATTCTCAAACTTCTATATATATATTATTAATAAAATTGAACTCATACTCAGCTATTGCAATAACTAATTAATCAAAGTGTTCGCAATTTGGAAACGCAATAAAAATAAGATCAACGTTATTTTTGAGTTCCAAATTGCGAACACTTTTTTCTTAATTGGCTTAATTTTTGTTCGCAATTTGGAAGCTACGCGTGTAGACATCATTTTTTTCAGTATTTTTCTTTCGACGTAATTCTCTGTAGATTTCTTTTCCTTTTCTTTTTCGACATTTTCCCCCTTCGACGTATAATCATTCGACATTTCTCCTTTCGATATTTTTCTGTTCAATATTTTTCCTTTCGCTATTTTTCCTCTTTCACATCAATTTTTCGTTCTTTTCATTCGATATTTTTTCTTTTCGACATTTTTCCGTTCGACATTTTGAGGGCCAACCGTTAATAAATGTTTTCTTCACAAGGACACATTTTTTTCCAGAATTGAAATCAAGAAAAATATAATCTTTAAACATCTCTAATATATTGTAGATTTAAGAAAATGTTAATTTCTCGTAAATATAGTGGGCCAGAATTGGCAAAACGTTTAGCCAATCGTATGAATTTCGTCGATGAAGTTGGTAAAAAACACGACAAAATGGCGTTATTTGGGCAACAAAATCAAGGAAAAGTTATGATACCAAGGAAGATGTTAGGTCGATATGTCTTGGAATCGATCATAGATATGGTCGTGGAAATTGTTGGTTTATCTGAAGCTGAAGTGATTCAAATATTATTTAAATAAAATAAACCTTTTTTCATTTTGAATTATATTAAACATATACAAATATGTATTTCTTTTTTGTTTGAACATCTATTAAACTTTAACCAGGAATTTTAGCAAACTGTAGAACTCTAGTGGTGTAACCAAGGTAGGGCCATGAGGAGCTCAGCTCTATCACCAGAGGCTTAAGTTCTACCACCTGCAGGTGTGGTGTGATTGTGGGTTGGGTGTGGGTGCGGATGGTGAGTGTCTGTGGGTGTGGGTGTAAGGTGTGGATATGAATGAAGAAAGAATACATCCAAACCCACACCCACACCCCACATCCACACCCACACCCCACACCCACCCACACACCCACATCCACACACCCACACCTACACTCACACCCCACACCCACCCACACACCCACACCCACATCCACACACCCACACCCTACACACACCCACACCCACACCTACACTCACACCCACCCACACCCACACCCACACCCTCACCTTCACCCACACCCACACTCCCTTCGACTTTCCACCTTTCATCCCATACGCTAAGTATAATTTATCTTGCTTCTTCTTGGTTATCTCGTTTTCTGTCCTCTCCTCCCCTCTTCTTTTCTTTTCCTCCTCTCCTTTTAATTCTCCCTTTTTTGAATCTTGTTATCTTTTCTTTTCTTCTCATCTTCTGTGGCGTTTACGTTTCCCTTCTTCTGTCCATATTGTACCTCTCCTATCGACGATGTCTTAATCGGCCTACGGGCATAAACTCTTCTCCTAGCATAATAAAAAAAGATTTTTAGCGTTCAATTAACCCACCACAAATCCATCTAATGATGAAAATGAACAAACAGCAAATAATTTAACAAAAAGAAAAATTTTTAAAAACAAATCCAACACAATGGTAACAAGATCCAAAATGAACTAGATTTTACCTGTTCTGTTTTTATCAGTGGTCAATATATGCAAAGACGTTCAACATTAGATAAAAGTTCAAATAATTTATTTGAAAATATTGAACAATTAGGTGCACTTGATTTATTCTCTTGTGGACAACTTTCATATGATACTATATTAACATCAATTCAAAGTAATAATACATTGCCATTACCAGTTAATGTAAGTTCATATATTTTTCCAGAATTGACAAGTAGAACTAAACTATCCTATTTCATATGGATAAAAGACTATATCAAAAATTTTAAATACATTCTAATTATTTCTGATATTCTTAATAAAGTCTAAAATTAAAGTTTATTTTCTCGTCATGGTCTTGATTTAACATCATCATTACAAAGTCTAATTTATATATCTTTCTGATTTATTTCCATCATGATAACATTTATCAAACTTATATGATTTAGGTGATGAATATTTTCGTACATGCTTTGACAATATCATTAATAAGTTATTATTTATGTAAATCTGGTATATTACTTGAACAAACAACAAAAGAATATTTAATGAATTATATATACATTTAATTGAACGTAATTTAAATAAATTATATAATACAAGAATTAAATAATGATATATATAAAAATAATACATTAAAATTCATATGATATTTTATTATCATTAATTAAAAATGATAATTTAACACAAGAACGTCATCGTTCAATATTGATTACCTTGTTTTAATACTTGCACGTATTGATACATGATTACAACGACCAAATGAAAATACATATTCATTAAATAATGAACATATGTTAATGAAGAATAAAAAATGATTGATAGTTCATCAATAATACTATCGTCAGATGACATTCTTATTGAACTTGTTGCAGAATTATATGAACGTACTAAATAATTATCAATATTAGCATATGAAGCTTTACTTTTATTACGTCCATTACCATTATAACCTGCATATATTGGTTCATCGAATCGTTTAATGAATAAAATGGTTTTAGAATTTGCTGCATCAACACAACAATTATATCCTTAAACACCTGCATATACAATTTTTGCTTTTTTTCGTGCTTTAATTAATGTATGTTATTCAGCTAAAGCTAATGAGTGAACTTTATTATCAATGACATACTTAAATCATTTATTCTTGCTGATTTTTTTTCTTAGTTCTTTATAATCTTTAAAGAAAAAAAATGTGTATTGAAATTTCATACTGATGATTTAATAATGAATTAATATTGCACGAGTATTTTTGAATTTATTTTTATGAATAAAATAGAGTGAAACCGTATTTGAGCTGTTGGATCAGCTATTTTTTTCCACTTATGCTTAAATATTCTTCCTAATTTTCTTTTTGAAAATTATCAAGACTTACACGTACGATTAAAATTTATTCGGAAAAGATAAATAGTAAAATATTAATGAAAAAAAACTCTTTGTTGCAATCCGAAGGAATTACGATCAATGCAAAATCAATAAATTTCACCATGAATTATCAAGATGAATTCTCATAGATAATATGGTATATCTTTTACTTTTTTAAGGTTTTCATTGACTTTTTCACATTTTAGTGCTCTTATTTTATTTATTTTAGGGTGTGGGTGTTGTTTGAATGTATTGATGGATCATATACTCTCTCTCATCCATACTCACATCCTTAATAAAAACTAAAAATATCGATTCATAAAATGAAAACATGTCAACAAGAATTTATTTATCTACTTTTTTTACTAGAATCGGTTTCTGTTATAATAATCATATCTAGATTTTCTAAACCAATTAGAATAGATTGTGATTAAATTTTAGCTGTATATACTAATACAAAATAAGTTAAATAAAATATCTCTAGTAAACGTTATTGTTGTTTGCAAAAAAGAATCAATTTTCACGAAAATCACCAGTCTCATTTTTTTGTGGATTTGTGCTTTAATTTCTGTTTGGCTTGTTGATTAGAAACAGTTCACCTTTTCTATATTGATCTCATAATGACTACATACTATTTAAAGTATTCAAAAACATATTTCAGCTATTGAAGTTTCAAAGAAGCCTTTAAAATGTTTTAGAATAGTCTAAATCTGGTTGATGATGTCATTCAATGCCTTTTCTGTTGCAATTCTTCCTCCTTTTACTAGGAAAACCATATCGTTGGAGTCTAAAAGAAAGTTGCACAAATCTGGATTAAAAATTCCATTTATAATCAGTACTTTAATAATATTAAGAAGAGTGTTTAACCACATCCACAATCTTTGAATCTCTTTGGTTTAGTACATTATATGTAAAAACATCTGCCATACTTCATCCTACTGCACTATTTTCTGAAAATCTATTGAAAATGATAAATTTAGAAAGTGTCGCACAACAATCGTTTCTTTTGTTTAAATGACAATTCTTTTTTCTTGATTTATTATTCATACAAAAAAAAAAAAGTTTCATACTAAAGACGAAAAACTGCATATGAATCATCCATCACACTTTCATATGTTGGAAAATAAGAGCATCAGTGTTCTCTAGTAAGACGATAGTCTGATGATCGCTTGACAGTATTTAACGATAATTATCAGATAGGAAATCAAACCAACTTTCACAGGTTCGAGTTCAGTTCGGTGCCTGACAGGCGTGGTATTATCCTGAAAAGTTATTTTAGATTTTAAATTTCTGAGGACTTATTTATGAAAGTCATAACTTTGGCAAGTTCAAACTCAACACAATACAATCATCAAAATACATAACTTCAGAAAAAATAGATCATAATTAGCGAAAATTCGATCATTAATCCAGGTTAAACAAGCAGACGGTAAGATCTTACAAGATAGAATACTTCAAACATATTTAGATTTTATTTTAAATTTCTTTCTGGATTTGATAAATTTCTATAAATGTAAATTGATTTCCCATAATCGTTGTTGCAAATATTCCATCGAACATCGTTTGATAATCGTATATAACATCATAACTTTACAAAAATGATTATATCTTAGCTAATCATATTTTTTTCATGTGCTTATCTATATTTATTCATTTTTTCAAAACTACTAATAGTATGATGCCGAATTCTGTTCTATTTTCATTACTGAGAATAGAAGAGATGATTAGCAAACCTTTTTCTCACAATCTACCTTCGTAATTTAAATTTTGTGTACTAACTTATCTAACTTTGCTTCAACTATTTTTTTGTTGTTGACACAGTAAACTTTGCATACATGTGAGGTGACGAAACAAAATAAAGAAATTTTTTCCGCTACAATTTAATTTAAACAGAAGTATATGCAATAAAGTTTGAGTTTCCGCTTCATCTACAAAGCCATACACTCTATTCTCTAGGAATTATGATTAGTACAGAAAAAGTTCAAAACAAATATAGTTTTCAAACTTTTGTTCGTCTCGTTCGGGCTGGTTCTAGTCATTCTAAATCCAATCAGAACTGATTTTAAGCAAGTCAAATGATTGAGCTTATAGTCGAACTTTAATTCTCAGTAAATAACATAACTTATCGTTGCATTCTTCACCTTTTCTCCTGGAGAAGTGGTTCTCTTTTTTTCGATTTTAGAACAATTGTCAATTTAGTTTGCGTTTTGTTTCAACAAGGAAGTTGTTGCCAATCTTCTAGACTAAGAAAATATTTGCTCACAGTTACAGTTTATTGTTTGTCTCATCTGAATAGATCAATCAATCTCATCCACATTTTTCTAGCTAATAATTGTCATTCATATCTACTTTCAAGAATCATCCAGATCATAAACTCGATCATCCGATTTTATCGCCATATATTTAATGTCAGCAAAATCTATTTTATTGAAACATAAGTCTACCTGATTTTCACCAATATGACTTTCTCCAGTATGTCATTTTTTGAACTCTTGCAAAGACACTCTTTCTCAGACATTGGCTATCGACGAAATTCAGAAACTCTGAGATATTATTAGTTATGTCTTCTAATCTTAGGAATTGACTTATATCACAAATATTCACTCTGTTCTTTAATTAACCTTAAGAAAGTCTTATATTTCTCGCCAAAAAAAAAAATAATCTTTACGTTTCAATATTTGGAATATCAATTTTTCAAGATTTATTCAAAAGAAAAAGAGAACATTGCAATGTCACGAACCGTAACATGATAATGCTGAAATCTTGCAGAACGCTGTTAGAAGTACGTAGTTAATAGTGATGTCATTAGTTGTTTTAAAACTATGCATTGAAAACAAAGAAAAACATATCTGTTAACTCCGACTGAAGTATTCACTAGTCAAAGAAACACTTGAATCAGTAGCCTTAATAATTATTTCAATACAATGTAGTATTTATGCACAAATTTTTCGATCACTATTGAATTTATCGATAAAAATCTTGAACAAATTGTTCAAATTCTTGTGAAAAACCATAATTTTTATAAATTTACTTATGGGTTCATATCAAAGATGTGTTCTTTCTTAACTACCCTGCTTCCACAGACTACGTATGACTTTTTCTTTTGATATCGAATATGATTACTGTTGCGCTTTTCAAAGAACCATTGCTTTTGATCAATTCTATTAGCTATGGTTATCGGTATCACAATAGTTCATTCTAACAAACCTCAAACATCAGACATCTTACTTCTTGTTTTACATTTGCTGTGTTTCTACGAAGAATATAGATAACAATATTGTGGATTAATTGGTTAAAAAAAGTATCAAATTTTGATAGTATTTGATATCGATATCTTCGAAGTAAATCATCGATGGAGGAGAGAGTTAGGAGAGTTACAAATCCTTCAATTTGATCTGATTATCTATAGATGGCTGAGTCAAATTGTTTGATCTGCTTTTTCTATTGTTTTTCATAGGTCTTTTAAAATTCTACAAAAGATTTCTGTTTGTCCATCACATTCGTATAGTTTTTGGACATAATAAAAAGTGATTGAAAAGTTTCGACTCCTATCAGCAAGTTAATGGTAATTGATCAAAATATATGATTTTATAGAGAAGAAAAGAGAACTTTATCTAATGAGAAAATGCTTTGAAATGCATTAAAATATTCCACTACTTTTCGATATTTTATCAATTTTGAGTGAATAATTTCATCTTACATTTTTGAGAAAAATTCCTTTTTTTCATAACATCAGCATGTCTTTCACCCTCGCAAGGGTTTTAATATGAATAACTTTAGGAATATGAAGAATGCTACAAAATTAAAATCATAATCAGCTAATATGATGAACATTATTCCATTGAGACGACAAAATTTTGTATTAAACCTTTTCAGATAAAAATACATACAGTTGTTATGAAAAACATTCTTCTCGATGAAATGTAAAATGAAACAAGTCATTGAAGATTACTACGATAGGAAAAACATTGAACTGGATTGACGCATACTACAAAATTATATATTTCTATCAATGAACAGTTTTAAATTCATGATAGATCCTATTAACTTACTGATGGAGTCGATAGTTTGAATAATCCTTTATTTTTATATAATACGGAACAAATGAAACTGATTCCTTATTGATATATAAGAACATCTTTTTTGAAAAATCCAATGATTATCTTCTTAGATTAACTTGTCATATGTGTTTATCCACATGAAAACGGGAATGAGACAAATGCTTATAAGATTTTTTACATCAAACTATCTGCTGTAACTGAGAGGTTCTACACTGAAAAAACTGGTTTTAGTGTGGGTGAGTGTGGATGAAGCCAGAAAGAGGGGATTCACCCATATCCCACAAAAAGCTTGTCAAGTTCCTGAAAATGTGCAGAGGGCACATCTGAAATCCATTTTTCTTTGACTCCGTGCGGAAGATACAAGAACGAAAAAAATTTATGAGGGTGTGGGTGTGGGTGCGTGTGCTATGGTTGAACTGTGAATTCAAACCCTCACACCCTAAAGTACTCCAAATGGGACCCACCCCCTCATACTTGCATGGTCTATATCTCCAGAATGCCTGATCCATTTGAGCTGATATTTTCAGTTTATTCCTATCTCAATTGTGCCTACCTACTGTAAAAGTATCAGCCAAATCAGTGACATTGATTGCGCAAGCATGTCAAGAAATGGGCGTGGCTTACATCCAATGCCTCCTATATAAAATCCTGTTTGTTTATTTATTTGTTCATCTACTTTCATCGAAATGACCTGAGTTAAAAGATGTTTCCATCACAATACAAAACTTAGTTTTTTTTCAAAAAGTTATCTAATGTTATTTGTCTTTTTATTTTTGAGTCAATACGAATATCAGTTAATCGAACTTCAATTTCATTAATCAATGAATACGATTGTGTTTGTGTTGTTGCCAATGAATGAAGCTTTCGTACTATTTCCATTGCTTCTGTTATCTTTTTGTGGTGATTCTGTTAATTTACAATCATCATCTCGCTCGATAACATCACAAGCTATCAGATTTTCACAATTATCAAATCATTCATTAAATGTGATAAACTATTACTATCTTTATTATGAAAAATTAATTGTAGTTTTTCTTGTAAAGTAAGCTCGCGTCGTGATATTATTCTTTATTTCACATGTACAACAGTTGAATTATTCAAAAAATAGACTTAGTTGAAGTGCAAAAACTTTTCTTTACCTTTCCATTTGAAATTATAGGAAATATGATAGTTGACATATATGCTGATGGAGCAATGAACATAGTTTCTGTTGTCATTTATGTTTTATAAGAAAAGAAGAGCAAAACAATATCTAAATCAATGAAGATAAATTCTCTTAAATAGACTTGAAACATGGTTAATTGACAATGAGATTTTATTTCATAAAAGACAAACGACTTATTTCTTTCAAATATATTGCGTAATAGATCAGTTTCAAGCTTATGAAGAGCATTAGACATTCTTTGTGTTATATTATATCATTCAAACTGACAAAAACAGAAGAATATAGCATCATTGTCTGTTGTTTTTTTTAATTTTGATTGATATTCTATGTTGCAAAGGAGTAAACTCAGAATTCTTTGAGCTATGTCAATTAAGATTGTTAACAGAATGTCTAATATGATTGAAAACTCTTTTCTGTATCAAAACACGAAGATTGAAGATTAGCAAAGCGATTCAATCAAATCAGATGTATATATTTTTTGTCTGAACATATATCACGTAAGTAAAATTAGCACCAGAAGGTGAATGTGAGTGTGTATCTTGTAGAAAATGAGACCTACATCCATATCCTAGTATCTTTACATTATACAATGAAGAAGAAAGTATTCTATTATGATTTTCTTTTGTATCAAAAATTTCAGATTATAATATTTTATAAGTTTTATTTAACAAAAAACTTAAAAATGATCTTGACAAGAACATTGTCCATTTATATCAAAATGATGAAAACGATTAGCATCACGAATAATAATTGGACGTTGACGAATTTTAACAATTAATTTTATAGCAGAATCTAATATAAACAAAATACATTAAATGTCTAAAATAAAAACACAGTGAGAGAGAGAGAAGTAACTTACGACAATCACCACATATACGAAGATTTTTAGTAGCATGAATAATATTTGGTATTGGCTGTTGTATAAAATTATAAGCTATAGCTAATTTTTCACTATGTCCACATAAAACTGATTCAATACTTTCATTATCATTTATTTCACGTGTAATCCATTTAGAATCATATTGATGTCCATTTTCTTTAAGTTCAGTAGATATTCGTGTTATTTCAGCATATATTTCTTTTGAACGAGGATGACTATGATCATGTGCTCTAAATTGCTATTGAAATAAATAAATATTTAATTTGTATTTTTTCTTTTTTTTGCTTTATATTAAAATAAAATATATTTACTACAACTTCACCATTTACTTCAGTCCATGTTATTCCAACTATTTTATTCTTTCCTATTTCACTTAATCGTTTAAATCGAATTTCTTTTGCTTTTTCATCTTCTCCAATAGATAAATAAGTATTTGAAAGAAGTACAGATGCAGCTATAAGACCTTGTTTCTTTTGTGGAAATAAATTTTTCATTCGATTATATATTTTTTCTGAGATAATAGAATTTCGATGATTACGTGCAGCAGATAATAATGCCACTGAACAAAAGAAAACAAAATATTATAAATAATTTCAAAATACTTACTATACATGACAAAACCAGGTGGATGAGATAATTCAAAATCATCAATTATTTTTTGAGCTTCATCAAACATAAACATTCGACTCATACAATCTACCTAAATTGTTTTATTAGATTATAATACAATCGAGAAGAATATTTTTCAATATTATATTGAAATTTCAATTAATTAATAAATTGAAAATAATTATGAAATATCTTTGAATTCTCTTGTTTTAGAATCATTTAAAAGAAATATATTATCTAATATTGTTCTGTTTTGTTTTTGTTTTTTTTACTATAAAATATCTTTCTAGAACTGATCTAATATAAATACTATAGATTTCTTCGTAAAGATAAAGAATAATAATTAGAGTTACCATAACAGTAGTTATTCTTTTTGTTTTAAATTGAATATTATTAAATATCGATTGAGCTTCACTGATAAGACCTGAATGAGAACATGCATTTAATACAGATATATGAGTAAATTCATTTTGAATATCAATAGGCATTTGTCGATACAAATCAATAGCTTCATGACCTTTTCCATTAAGACCAAATGCATTAACTTTAAAAAAAAACAAAAATATCTTATTCAAATAAAAAACAAAATTATTTACTCACTCATCGCTGTATAAATCATTACATCAGGTTTTTCAATATGTTCAAATATTTTTAATGCTTTATCAACATGACCAACTTTTCCCTTTAATATAAAAAATTTTTCTTTTCTTTTTAATCATTTATATTTACATACCCACATATCGATCAATATTGCTTGTAAACGATGATGTTTTAATAAATTCGAAGGAATTTTATTAACAATTGGTTCATATATTGATAATAAACCTATTTGTGAACATGCATTAAGAATAATTATATATGTTATTTCATCAGCAACAATATTTTTTTCTTGCATTTGTTTAAAAATTTTCAAACATTCTTCTGGTTTATTATTCATATTATAACCATTCATCATCACTGTATAACTAGTTGTATCTTTATTTTCAATAAGAAAAAATAATTTTTCACTATCAGATATTTCACCAAATTTCATTAACATATGTATATATGAATTAATTAAAGATAATTTTTCATAAAATATTTTTGGCATTTCATTAAACATATTCTTAGCTAATTGAAATGTTTGTTCATTTGTAAATTCACTACAAATTTTAAAAAGAATAATAAGAATAATTTCATTTGGTTTAAAAGGCATTTGTTTAAATATATCTAATGCTTTTTCATATAGTTTATTTTCTAATAAACCTAAAAAATTTATTTTTTTTTATAATAGAAAATAAATTTAATTTAAATAAATTACCTTGCATCATTATTCCATAAGTTATAATATCTTTTGTATTCATTTCAA